ACAATTAAAAAAAAAAACCAACGAAACAAAAACTAAGATGCCTCAAGCTTATGGGATGGGTGGGAAAAACTAAGGTCAGCTCTCAAGCAGAAGGAAAAAATGAGGCCATAGTTAGTTGAGGTGATGGGGCGCTGATGTCCCAGAGATGCCCCTGAATGCAGAAACCAAAGTCACTTGGTCACATGCAAAAGAAATCTTCACCTTGTTGTGCTCCTCCAGAAATAATAATAGCAGAAAAGACATTCGGTAAAGGTAAAACTTCTCTCCAACATGCCCCAGCCCGTCAGGGCTGGCACAGCCATGAGTTGCATCCAGACCCTCACTCCTGTCAACGTGTTCTTGCTCAAATGGCATCTGATGAATCTCCTTCTGCAAATGACATTCCTGACACCTACAGCAACCAGAAGTCCCTCACCAGTCTCAGATGTCTCAGGGGATGTGACAAGGACTTCAGCCATGAACTATTCCCAGGTTTGTTGTGCACAGGGACATTTCTAAGTTACTTTGACCAAAGCATTTGGGCTCAGCACTTAAGACATGTTGTCCCATGCACACCTACCAAGCAATGTAGGAGGATGCGCCACGAGAGCATGGCACTCCTACTTTCCCCTCAACATGTTTCCTGGAAAACATGCTAAATATGCGAGCAAAGCTGCTGGGACATGTCAGATATGCATCTCCACCCCCCTGCTGTGGATTAAGAAAAAAAAAAGTCGTTCACCACTCAGCATATTTGGAAAGTCTCTTGCGCACAGAGCAGACACCTCCAGACGTCTCCATCGGTGACGTTATTTATAAGTGGACCAAACAGCTTGTTAGGCTAATTGCTCCTGGAGGGATTTAACTCTATTGAGAAAGCTTGAACAGGGCTCAACTGTTCCAGAGCATTAGCTGCCACTCCTCCCTTTGATTTACATCACTCGTAAAATTTTATGGCCAGATTAGAATGAACTTCACTTGCACTGTGTTTTTAGTAAGGGGTTTTTTTTTGTGCTGAATAAAAGCAAAAATCAATGCTGTAACTAATTACAGCCTCAACCAGGAAAGGAAAATACCTCAAAATGGGGGGGCGGGGCGACGCGCCAAACAAG